GGGAGCACCATCGTGTATTCTGTCCACTGTTGACCAGGAGGTAGCATACATCTGTGTCTTTTTGTTGAACTGCCTTCTTAAATCATTTTCCCATCTTGTACTTTCATTGTTTTTTGAATATCCTCAAGATTTTATTATGTAGTTTAAATCAAGTCTTTTATTAGACTTAGGATCTGCAAACAGTTTTCTCTGTCATTTGCTTTCCTTTTTCATTGTATTAATAGTATCTTTACAGATTAAAAGTTTTAGTTTTTGAGTGCCAGCATACATAATATTTGTTTTCTTTTATGGATTGTACATTAAGTACTCTATGTATGAAATCTTTGGATAAGACAAGATTACAATTGTTTTCCTAGAAATGTTATATTTTTAGGGTTTTTATGATACATATTGTATATAATGTCAAGTAGGGGTTGATGTTTATATTTATCATATGGACATCCAATTGTATTTGTGTCATTTGCACTGAAGACTGCCCTTTCTCCACTATTATCTCTAGAATGATATAAAAATTAAGTATACATATATACGTGTTTATTTTTTAGATTATTTGCTCTAAATATTTATATAGAGTATTTTAACGTATCTTATTTATAGATGTGACATTAGGGTCTAAGAGATTAGGTAACCTGCCAAACACATAAGAGTTGATATTTAGTTATCCATGAAAACTGTTTACTAACAGACAAATGCAAAATTCACATAAAGGCCTGAGTTTTAGGGTTTAAATGATGCACTTTTTGGTGATATCAGTTTATTTTTTCTGTTAACAGAAAATTATTTGTTTAAAATTATTTCTGAAAAAAACAGCAATTTTTTCTCGTGTCTTCGGTAATCTGAATTCTTTGGAAGCAATATTTCATGTAAACTTTATTACAACCCTTTTGAGGGCCTTTTGTTAGAGACACACAAGGTATGGCTTAGAGATAACCTGTAACCTCCTTCAGTTCACATAGCCTACAAGTAGCAAAAAGTAAGTTCTCTGACTGGCTTCCCTGCCCCCATTATACGATTCTGCAAAACTGTAAGTCTGAATGAATCATGATGCTGCCTATGTTTGCTGGTGTTCAGTCTGTGTTTTCTATCACATCCATCCAGATGTTTCAAAAGACTTTGTAAAATGTCTAGCATTCCCAGATGGGTTAGCACTCAGCCCTAAACATGCTGTTCTATTTCCGCTAACACTCGGGGAACATTGCTGGAGAGGGTCAGGAAGAATACAGAGCTGGGGGACAGAGAGGAGGGCAGTGGAGTCCCTTCCTCTAGATGTGACTCAGACCATGTAAAGATAAAATCTCAGCAACTGTAATCATTTGTATGGGGCCTCCAACAAACAGACCCTCACGATAGTCTGTGAGGCTACTGCCCAGCTCAAAATGGTAATTTTCTGAAGCATTTCATGAAGGGATTTTGTGTCTGCCTTGTCAAACCCTAGTAGGATAATTTGAGTAGTAATTGTGAGTATTCAATGTTCCACTCTCTTTGAAAATACTTCCAGTTTGGACAACAGTCAGAGGCAATAGCGCTACTGGCTCTTTTGTTAAATTTATGAAAGTCATGAATTCTTGGAAATTACATATCCTCCTAGACCAAGAAGTCTATTGGGCTGCCATAGTGTTAGTTGTAGAAGTGGTAAATTGGTAACTTTCTCTTGATGAAGGGGGGATGGGGACCTGAAACAGAGGAGGAATTGCTGATGAGGGAGATACCCATTGCCTTCAGTGGATCCCCAAAGTGTTTCAGAGGAGAGTACCTCACATCCTCCACCCTGCCAGCAACCTTGGGCTTTCCTCGCCATCTTGGAATATAGCCAAATCTTTTGCCAACAGAGACAGCATTTATAGGAACAGTTAGTCCTTTGGTAACTGGGCCAACTTCATACCTGTATCTTTACACCCTCAAAAGCCATTCACATTTCCTAGCAGAAGAGTCAGAATGACAACAACTGAACCTGTTAGCTATAGTCTTTCCAATGCCATGAAAAAAGAAGGGCTGGAGAGATGGCTCAGTGATTAAGAACATTGCCTGCTCTTCCAAAGCTCCTGGGTTCAATTCCCAACAACCACATGGTGGCTCACAATCATCTATTATGAGGTTTGGTGCCCTCTTCTGGCCTGCAGGCATACAGACAGACAGACTATTGTATACATAATAAATAAATATTTTTTAAAAAAGAGAAACTATTTGATAACATTAGTATGTCTGTTGATGAAAGGTGATTAGGAGACAAAACACATATTTTTATGTTTTATTGTTGCCAAAAGTAACTAAACTTAAATGTGATTAAGTTTCCCATCTACTCTCGGTTTACTAAAAGTATAAGGAAAAGGAAGTATGACTGCATTTAGTGAAGTCCCTGTATATGAACTGGGCCTGGTGGCATACACCAGCCATCCCAACCTGGGATGTGGAGGCAGGGAGATCAGTTATGTAACCACTGTCAGGACGGCCTGGGATACATTCGGTTTGTGCCTTGTCTCCCCACAAAAGAGAAAAAAAAACTGGATAAGAAACATGCATGTATAGACACATGTGTACATACAGAGAGACATATATATGACATAATTAAGAATGACTGACCAATGAGTAGTTATTTAGTGACTTGGGCTTACTGTTTATTTTTTAAGTATGACAATACTGTTGTGACTATGTGGGTTTAAAAATATATTTATAATCTTACAGAAACATTGTTTTGGTTAAAACAATTCAACAAAATAAAATCCTTTCTTATTGTTGTACATTGTTTCAGACATACATCAAACAGTATAAAATAATAAAAACATACAGCAACTTCACCGACAAAAAAAAAAAAGAAAAAAGAGAGAGCCTTTTATCACTGACCTTTTTAACCAACTTATACAAACCGGCTGCCTATAGTACAACATATACCAAGAAACACCAGCTGCTGGAATGCCTAGAATAAGATTTTATTTCTCCTTTGTTTGTTTTCTTTGGTTATTGTCATTTTTCTACCTTTTTTTCTCCTTTGAGAGTATAATAACTTGCTCACACAAGTAAATTCAGAAGCAGGACAGTGAATGCCGATTTGGTCATTCATCATTGTCAACAATAGCTAACCCCAGGCTAGAAGAGAGCTTAGCGGGGAAGAGCCCTGTCAGCTCTTCTGGAGGTCCTGAGTTCAATTCCCAGCAACCATATGGTGGCTCACAACTGTCTGTAATGAGATTTGGTGCCCTCTTCTGGCTTGTAAGAATATATGCAGAAAAAAAGCTGATCCCTAATAGAATATACAACATATATACACAAATATAAGATTTAAATAATCTATGCAAAAGTATAAAATGTAAATAAAAATACAACTTTTTCTTTTAAATTTTTTTAAGAAAAAAAATCAATGACAATGAAAACAGGACCCTGCCAATCTTGGTTCTTTCTTTCCCTATTGCAAATTCACATTGTGGTTTTGGTGGAGTGTACATATTATCTGTGGGTGACCCTGCCTGCTGTGTATTCTTCATGAATAAATAAAATCATGGGGTTTCAGTTTCTCTTTTTAAATAACCTATTAGAGGCAGAATACTGTTAAGGTTACATATATAATAGATTTGGAAATATCTTGATAATTGTCCAAGCTAGAACCTAACATATGATAAAATTAATTAGTCATTTTTATGTGTTTGACAGTTTCCATAATCATTTTTTAACGATTAAAATAGTGGGTAGTCTCTAGGTTCTCCTTCTTAAAGAAAACAATTTAGTCAAAGGTCATAGGCATTTTAAGCAAAGCAAGCAAAGCAGACACTGTAGGAAGATGATGAAGTAGGCTGTCTGGAAGGGAAGAGTGGTCAGTGGATTCGACTCTACTTATTGTAAGATGATTTATGCATAGTTATGAGGATCTTGTTCATGAGGTAAGGTGATACCTTACTCCTCCAGTAATGATGCTTGGCTTTACTCCTCCAGTGGTTGACCACATCTCCCCGTTAGGGTGTTTGCTTTTTTTCCCCCATGACTTTCTGGGATGAAGGGTTCAAACCCATAATGTTAATGAGATGATGTAAAGCCAGGGTCTTTGGACAGTGCAGACCCTTTGTGCACATGCGTGGGAAACGCACTGGCACCTTGGATTTCGGTGTAGTAGGACGAAACCTACCTCAAGTTTTAAAAGTTAGAAATCCAAGAAGAAAATTCTTTCAAATCTCAAAGCTAGCAATGTCCACCTTTCTTCAGTTCGGTAATTAAAAAATGCTCATGAGCATTATTCAGCATGCTTGTTTTTGGTTTTGAATAAACTAGGAATTATCTCTAGAAGGAGCAGTAAGAGCCAGTTTTTGAGAAATATTCTCCAGTCTCCTTTAACGTGAGTCATTATTTTAATTTTGTTTCCGTTTCCTAATTCATCACACAGCCTTGTGGGAGAACATGCAAACACTGAAGTGAAGATTCCTTGTTGATTAGCCAATAGTGAAATTTTCGTGACCTTAGGGAAAGGCACCGGGAAAGGATGTGGGGGAGGGTACCAGAAGGTGCCCTTTCACTAAAGCTTGGTTTCACGCCTCCCTAATCTACCACGAGTTGCCCTCTGGTGCAGAGAAAGTCAACTACAGCCTCTGTTTGCTGTACTTGAGTACTGACTTGAGAAGGCTCCATCCCTCAGCCCTGGAGTTGACAGCACCCTGACACTAGGGTTCTCTTCAGGGTTTACCAGATGGAAAACTAGCAACTCTGAGCCAGTGAGATGGTGAGTTAACAGGCTTCTCTGACAGATGGAGGACCCCAAGTGTGAAGGAGAACAGCTTCAGCTCCAAAGGGAGAAAGACTGAATCCAATCCATGTAAGCAAACACCCGTGTCAAGCCAGTTACCCAGAACAACCAGGACAGTGGCCATCTCAATGACCCCATGCAGGAGACAGTTGCCTGTAGGGTATTTTGTCAACACTTTGAACAGATTACACTCAGTTGAGAAGAAATGGTGTCTTTCTCTCTTAAGTGTGAGCTCAATGAAGTATGAATAGCTCCCCTTTGTTGGTGTCATCAGGATCGTTATTGGCAACTGTGGGAAACAGAACTTTCGTCTAACAACTTCATCATCATCACTCTGGAAACCCCAGGCACAACCCATGCTTGAGGCATTGTCCAGGAACAGTCATAATTAAGAGGCAGTTGGGACACAGCTGAATTTTTCAGTGCACACCTGAAATTTGGAAGTGTTTATCGAAAAGTTGATCCAATACTTATAAACAAGTAAACATTTTTCAGAAATACTAGCATTTATGTAAGGAAGATACGTTAAATATTTGCTTTAGTTCTTGTCATTAAAAATTACTATAGATTAATTTTTATAGCATATTTTAATGACTATACAAACCTTATCATACTTATTTTTTGGTTACTAAACCTTGATTTTTCTGTTTGAAAAGTGGTTCATGTCTGTGTATTACATTTTATAGTTTCTTTGATCATAATCTAAAAGCTTTTGTGAATGAAATGAGCTCCGACTAAAAATAATGAGCTTCCACCTCACTTAAAAAGGATCTCTAAAAAAACAAAAAACAAAAAAACCATTGCAATGCATGTTTGTAATCCCGCGCTTGGGAAATAGATGTAGAAGGATCAGAAGTTAGTTCAAAGTCAGTCTTTATTAAGTACTGAGTTCAAGGCCAGGCTCCATTAAGTACTGAGTTCAAGGTCAGCCTTTATTAAGTACTGAGTTTAAGGTCATCCTCCATTAAGTACTGAGTTCAAGGTCAGGTCTCATTAAGGACTGAGTTCAAGGTCAGTCTCCCTTAACTACTGAGTTCAAGGACAACCTTGCCATTGTGTTCAAGGCAGGCCTTGGTGTGAATCTGTCTTAATACAAACTTTCAATTAAGTTAAAAGTAGGAATAAAATGCAATTTTTTTAAAAAAAAGTCTTTTCTTAATTTTGGTAAAATCTAAATCCAAAATTTATGTTAGCCTGATTTTAAATTCTAAAGAAATTACACATCAATCCAAGGACTAGATGTATCTTTCAATATTAAGTCTGAAGATAGTTTGACTTGCATAAGAACTTTTTAAATGATTTTTTTTATTCTTTGAAAGTTTCATACATGTGTACAATGTATATTGGTTATATCCACCTACCCAACCTCCTGCTACCTTCTCCCTGTGCCTCCCTCCCTCCCATCACATCCTCTTTTTATTTTATTAAAGTCTTAACTGACATTGCAGACAGTAGTGGGATTTTGTTAAGTCAGAATGTTCTTTTTTGATTTTAATTTTTAACTACTCACCTGTGATGTTTCCTTTCTAACATGAGGAAGAAAAGAATCCATGCCACCAAAGAACCCCACTGCATGAGTCACGAGGGTATGGGGTCCACCATCTGTACAACAAGGAAACTGAGCATGCCAAGTGTTATTGACAGGAAATGGGGAAATGGCCTACTTTTAGGGGGCTTTGCTTGACCCTTTCTCAATGTTTGCAAATACTCAAAGGTCTTTTTTTTGTGGTAGAAAATACCATCAACTGCCTCCCCTGAGTGTCTCCACTTCTTATAGTACAAGCATCTGTCCTTGTATAAGCAATGACGACTAGAATATTTCAGTAGTCTCTGAAGACAAGACCTGAGTGTTTACGTGGATAATACAAAGTGTCTTTTATTTCTAGCTAAAATTTAACTGATGCCAGAGGGCGGTGCCTAGCTGAACTGTAGCCTTATCCAGTTGCTCACCCACATTGTCAGTTACACACTTGTGTAGGTAGGGGGTCTAGAAACAGTCAGCTTCAAATTAGCGGGACATCTGGAATATTAGCCTTCAGAAAAGGGTGCAGGTCCAATGTGTTTGAATAACATGCAAACTCTTATAGATCTGTTCCTTTCTTGACAGTAATCTATAATTTTCTTTTTTAAAAATGCCACTGGGATGGTGGTGGCTAGACAGATCTGGTTAGGGACTAAGACAAGTTGTTGCTCTTCCAGAGCACCCAAGCTCAGTTCCCAACACCCACGTAGGCACCTCCCATGCCGCTTCCTTCCTCCTCTTCTTCAGGTGGTCTTCAAGACAGGGTCTCTATGTAGCTCTAGCTGAGCATAAAATTGCTGTCCATACCAGGTTTGCTTCAAACTTGTGAGCATTCTCCCATAGGATTACAGGAATGCACCCCCAGACCTGGTTGTACCTTTACTTCTAAGCCTATGGGTAGGTAAAATGTTTATGATTATCTGTGGTTTATTTGACCCCATAATTTGCATTATTCACTGTATACCTTATATCAAAAAGCCACAAATCAACTGGCCGTGTATATGCAGAATAGAGCCTCTATGGCTAATTTAATATATACCTGAGTTTGCACAAGAAAACACCTCCTAAAGGTGCTACAGGATCCCAGTTTTGAAGTCTCTATCCTAGGCAACTTCAAAGCTTCATAGGGAATATGCCAAAATAGACAATGCATCTAACCACCACCAAGGAACAAATCTTTTCCACCTTGGCATCTGGTTTTCCATTCATTGGCTAAACAAAGCACCCGTTCAGCATTGTGCTTAGCTGCTCATTAAATACCAGTAGGTCAGAGCATGGGAGTCTTTGGGTAAGCACAGTTGCTCAATGCTACAGAAAACACACGACTTTGGCCATTAAAAATCACTTTCTGAGTTAAAAAATTCCATATGATTTAATTTAGATTTTTTCTGACTTTTTTCTTTTGGCAAGAATTTAAAAATTACTACAGCTTAACATTTAAAATTAATTATGGGCTGAAAACACAAAGTACAACCTGGGTTGCCACTCACTAAATAAGACTAATTATGGAAATTCAATATTAAAAGCCAGAGAAAACACAGGAAGGGTGTTAAGAAAGGTATACACGATGCATCACAATTTCCCTTCAAAATATCAGAGCACATATGGCATAAATTAGCACAGGTTACCTAGAAAGCAGAGCTGGAGGCAATAATTATATGCTAATGCTTTAGTGGGAAAATTCCATGTTCATAAAACTAGTTGACTACAAGTATAACACACACACACACACACACACACACACACACACACACACACGGATGGGGAGTCAGGGGTGGCAGAGAGAGACATGAGCACTGTTTCCTGAGATGTCTGGAGGCCCTATGCCTTGGGGTCAGTAGCACGGGAAGAAATGTTTTGCTTTACTTTTCATATTACATACTCCCTCTATCTCTCTTGGTCAAGTTTCATGCCTCGGGCACTAATGTCATGTTTTTGTACTACGTTACCTGGTTATGTGGTCATCAGTGGAGATTCAGACGATCTGTTCCCTACTGTGAGCTCATTGAGTTAGTCAGAAGCAGGTAAATTTGTTGAATTGTTTCCATGGCAAGAGTCATAATGGAATGTATAAGTCTAGAAATTGCTCTGGGGATTGAGAGTGCTCACAGTAAGATGAAAGATGTCAGTAAATTTTGTTAGGATCCCATCCTGTAAGTAGACAGGTCTGGGAGTCAGGTTGAATCATGAGTCATGTGACCAGGTTGACTATGGAATGCTACTCATTTTGTAGAGATTTAATTTGCATGTATCACCAACATCATTCTAACAAAACCGTCTTGAATATTTACTACATATTGAGCAAAGAAAGGCAGAGGTGCAGAGCTATGTTTATATGCAGTTGTTAAGAGTTTAGCCAGATGATCAAAAACTTGGAAAAAAGTTAGGAGACTGGCAATAGGAAGACCAGGAGTAAGTTTGAAAGGACACACCTATGAAGACCATTCTTTCGCATGCTAATGACTTCTGGAGTATCCAACTTTACAATTAGGAAGATAAAGGACAGAGGGGATAATTCTGGCTAAGAGAACCTGTGGTTTTGGCAGAGGTTCTCAGCACCCTCATGGTAGCTAATAACCACTCATGTCCCCAGGATCCAATTGTCCTCTTCTGACTTCCATGGGTACCAAGCATGTATGTGGTGCACACATATGCAGACAGGGAAAAGTTCATACACATAAAATAAAAAGTACTTTTAAAATAATTAAGAAGTTAAAATGGTATGTTTTCTTTTGGACATTCACCCAATTTTTTTGGTCTGTTCAGTGGCCATGTGGTCAGATATGGATACTATGCACAGACTCACCATCAGGGTGTCCACGTACCAAGCCTGGCTAACACTGCTGCTGAGTGTCTAATCTACTGACTGTGGAGAAGCAAGAAGTCCTCAACATAGCACTATTCCCAGGGTATAAAGCCAAGCTTGGATGGCAGATTAATTACTTTAGATGTTTCCTATACTGCAGAAATTGGAGATTTGGAATTGACATATTTTGAAGTAATATTGACTCCCTTCCCTGTAATTCTCTTGCTGCAGAATCACTTGTCTAATCATTTTATTTCACATATTGTGTCTGATCAAGAGAATTGTCTTAAAACAACAATAATGAAAAGGATTGATGAGCACTTGTTGATGGAATTGATAGAATGACTTAAACTCACCCTATTACTCATCACCCAGAAGTAGGCTGGTCTGACTGAAAAGAGACATGACTGCTGTAGGAAGTCTTACAGCTTGTGGTTACCTGCCTACTGGGGCATGGCCTCTTATATTATATATGCTGATGTAGAGCCTGCATCTGCCCTCTTTGCCAGCTGCTCTTTCTGGTTGCTGGATTTGGTCTCTTTTCTCTGTTCAAGCAGAGGATTCTTATTTGTGAGTTTACCCCTAAATAAATAACCATTTATTTCTCAATTCTGAGCTAGTATGGGATTTCTTTTAAGCGTCCTTCCACATTTGGTGCCCAATGCACCAAATTGTTGCAATTGTTCATCCTGGCTGCCCGGCTAGCTTAAGTCCAAAATAACCACACAAAACTGTATTAATTAAAACACTGCTTGACCCATTAGCTCTAGACTCTTATTGGCCAACTCTCACATCTTAATTTAACCCATTTCTATTAATTTGTATATTGGCTTGTGGCAGTGGCTTACTGACAAGGATTCAACATGTCTGGCTCTGGTGGAGGCTCTATAGCATCTCTTTTACTCTGCTTTCTTTCTCCCAGAATTCAGTTCTGTCTTCTCCATCTACCTAACTTCTAGCCTATCAGGCCAAGATAGTTTCTTTATTCATTAAACAATACAAACAACACATAAAAAAAAGGCTTCCTATGCCACAA